TACTTTATAAAAAATGATATCCAACTAATAATGGAAATATGCTCAACCTAATTTTTATCAGAGAACTCAGTTTAAAGCCACCATTAATACTGTTATATGCCCACTTGAGTGATTAAGATGAAAAAGGCAAATGATACCAAGTGCTGGAAAGGACATAAAGTATTGAAACTTCTGGTGCACTAGGAACTGATACAACACTTTGAAAACAACTTGACATCACATTCTGAATCTGTACTCACGTGTCCTCTGTCAGTTACACTGAACTGAAAGCCATACGAAATGTATTTAAGGAATTATATTTACACAACGACAAAGTAGAAATGTTCCAAAGACAGACAAAAAGAGTGGAATGGAAAATATGACCAGAAAATTGAATAATGTGGAGCATTTAAGAGAATAAACTAATGCTAAAGAAACATTTTGGACAATTGAGTCCTGAATGAAGGAAACGCAGACAGAAGCATAAATTGAGGATTCCATTTGTAATATATTCAGAAATAGACAAAAGTAAGCTTTGATGTTAAATCAGTATGGTCTGAGGAAGAGAGAAAGAGTTAAGTTTTATTTCTTTTTTGTGGCAGGTGGTTACATAGGCATATTGTCTTTGGGAAAATTTATTAGTTGTCTATTATTTTTCTTCTTGTGTTATGCAATACATTTTAGGGAAGCTTCCAAAAGGAGCTTGTATTAGTTTTAAAATACTTAAAAATTTTATAATTAAAATTTTTATACAAACACCTGGCTTTCAAACAGTGTGATTCTAAAGTAACTCAATATAGGAAAGAACACTATGAACATTGATTTTTGTCACTTTTTTGTTGCAACTTTGAAGAATTATATATTATCCAGATTAACTGTAGTGGAGGCATCAACCAGAAAGATTATACTTCCAAGTTTTTCTTAATAGTATCCTACTATATGAGGCTTGAAAATATTCAGTTTTCCAAACTGCTGTTGATGTCTAAATTCTTAGTTTGGGGGAGATTAATTTAGCTCTATTTTCTCCACAACTTCAACATAATGTGTGCTGGATTTACTGGGTTCTTTTCCAGTCTTCATTTAACTCCATCAACACGACCAGGGAGTGTATTTAAGACCAATATTTTTGAATTATATTTTGAATAATATTTTTGACCAGTTTGAATTAGGTCTTCTGTATGCAAGTATGCATTTGAAATTATCTTAACTCAGTGTATCTGAAGGCATACAAGATGAGTATCCAAGACTGAAAATGTCTGGTACTAGAAGTATGTGAAATTTTATTTTTCTCATTTTAGAAACTTTTCATGTATAATAAGATAGCTTGGTTATGGAACCCACATCTATACAAAATAAAATAATTGTTTCCAGTATACCTTACTTACATGTTCTGAAGGTAATTTTATGTAATATTTTTATTACACCTTTTGACTGCAACTTATGACTCCATGTTATTTGTGAAGTTTTCTACTTGTTGGAGAAGGTGAGCACTTGAAAATGTCTGGATTTTGGAGCTTTTCACATTTCAGATTATTTTCTCAACCTATAGTTACTCTTTTTAAACATCATTTTTATTTTTTATTGGATTTCTGTGATTTTTATACAGAATAATTTGATATTTAGATCCCCTCCTTATTTTCACCTCCCCTTCCTGCACACCGCCCAATTTAATGTACTCTCTCTATGTGTGTGTGTGTGTGTGTGTGTGTGTGTGTATGGCCTATTGAATCTAATTTGTGTGCACAAATGTCCTTCAATATGGGTCCATTGGAACCTGGTTTATCTACTAAGAGTCACGTCCTTGAAAGAGACTGTCTCTCCCTCTCCCAGCAACCATCAGTTGCCAGAAGTTTCTTAGGTTAGGTTGTGGTTTCTAACCTACTTCCCCATGTGTATATTGTGTGTATATTGGAATTTTGTCTGGTTTGAGCTTGCATTGGACTTGTGCATGCTGTCACTATTGCTGTGAGTTCTTATGAGTAACTGACCAGATGTCTGAAAAACTTTATTTCCTTGTGATTATCTACTACTTCTGTCTCTTATAATTTTTCTTCCCCCTGTTACACAATGATCCCTGAACCTTGGCAGGCAAAAGTTTGATACAGATGTCCTTTCAGGGTTAAGCACTTTGTGGTCTCTTGTTCTCTGCTCTTAGCTAGGTTTGGGTTTCTGTGTTAACTGCCATCTACTACATAAGGAAACTTCTGTAGTGAGAGTTGAGGGATACATTAATTTATGGGTATAACAATAACTCATCAGGAGTCAGTTTTATACTATAACTGTTCAGTACAAAACGAGTATCATTAGGCTCTCCCCTATATCCTGTGTCTTGTGTAGCCCCAGGTTCCTAGGCCTGATATCAGTGTCAGCTATGGGCTCCATCCTATGAAGCAGACCTTAAAACCAATTACAAAGTAGTTTTGTTACTTCTTTAATAGTTGTGCCACTGTTACACCAGTGGGCATATCTTGCTAGGCCTGGTGTTGTAGCTCCCAGAATTCACATGTAGGTAAGTAAATTTCATGCTGATTTTTCTTTTCTGGTAGCTTGTATAGCACCTTCCAGCCCTATGAAAGTTACTAGAAATGAGGCTCTCAAGTCAGCACCAGATCAGTTTTTCTTTGTTTGGTCTACAGCTTATGTATGCAGTATCTTCAGTAATAGGATCTTATGTTCTGGTGGGTAAACAAGAGCAGGGGTAATGACCAGCATTGTTTGAGTGTCTATGGGACCCTTGGTCAACAGCTTCTAGAGAGGGATTTCATTCCTGGCATTGATGTTTTATTTTGTTAGCCTATGATGTCTAGAAGGGGTAATGTCCCCCTGTCATAAAGTAATTCCTTTTAATATCTTTTCATAGTTAATATGATTAGACTTTGAGAAGCTTCTATAGTGGAAGGTTTCCTTATGGTTTTTTCTCAAGGCCTTTACTGTTATTTATCATTCCCCATACTCCTCTGCTCTGCCTTCCCATTCTCCACTGCCTTTAACCCTTCTTACTCTAATGTTCTCCATTTTCCTTTTGGATCACTGGATTCTACCACCCTTCCCAGGAATCCCACCTCCAGCCACAAGACTTTCTTGATTTTTTTGAGTCTTGGCAGTTGGATAAATTGAACAAACAGTTTTTTGTTTAAATACATATGAATTTTACTATTCTTAAATTAGTTGAATTTGTTAATATTTAGTTAAGAATAAAATCCTTAAGTGTTGTAGAATTGTAAAACCACTGAAAGATATTTATGAAATATCAATTATTAAAAGTCTATTTAAAAAATAATATAGTGCTGTATTTTAACACAAAGTCCTAGTTTCTGATGTCTTATTGAAATCAAAGAATAATAACACAAACTATTCACGTATGTATTTGATATTTGATTCTTGTGTTCCATGTTTTTTTGCATTAAGATTTTAAATAAGATCATTTTATGAAGATTATGATCAAATTATTGAAATATCCCTCCCTATGTTTCTATATTTTCCCTTTTACCTGTCCCTGATTCAAGCACGTTTTTATTATTGCTGCTTTTCCTGTCTCTCTGTTGCCTTTGGGAGACCATACAGAAGAATATAAACTTTCACTTCTGATACTCACTTCTCTCCCTTCTTCTCCTCTCTTCTCCCCTTCTTTTCCCGTCCCCCCGTTTAAGAAATTTATTAACTTTTTTGAGAATTTTAAACATGAGTACTGAATTTACATCATTTGTATTCCTCCCTCTCCCCCACCCCGATAACTCTTCCCATATCCCCCAACTCTCTCTCAATTTTGTGTTCTCTTTAATGACTATTTTATTTATATTTGCGCATTGACATGTATAACCTGCTCAGAACATTTGGTGGTACTAGTATGTGCACGTCTGTAGGGATGACCACTTGGGATTGGGTAACCTATACATTCTGGCTAAGAACTGTTGAACCTGAGGGGATCATTAAGGTTTTTTCAAATATATGGAAAACTTTTAGCATACGGCACAGATTCTGCTTTACTCAAAATAAAATGGTATTAATTGATTAAAAAATATATTTTCATAGTTTGAGCTAACTGAAAATGAAACACATTGACTTGTGAGTTAGCAGTCTCCTAGACAATTATTTAATTAGGTGTTTGTATCAGTGATTTATTTTTTAGCAGTGAGTGAGTTTGAACTAAATCTCTTAAATCTTTTTTAATGGTAAGGTGCTATAATTTGGGCAGAAATAAAAATACAGATTTGGAATATACATATATCTTTGTGTCTCATTCTTGCTCTCTTTCTATTTTTAATAGTAAAACAAAACTGTGGTTTTATACATATTAGGAAAAATTTCTTACAACTCACATATCCCCAGACCTGAATTTTCTTTTTGAGAGAAAGAGAAGAGTCTTCTTCAAACTGAATTTTAAAAATTATATCTATTTATTAATTCTTCACTTCGTGGGAAGGGGCACCTGCATGCCACAGTGTGCTTGTGGAGGTCAGAGGACAACTTTTAGGAGTTGGTCCTTTCCTTCTGTCACATGAGTTCCTTGGATAGAACTCAGGCCGTCACACCTGATGGCCATACCTTTACCCACTGAGCCATCTTGATAGCTATTTAAACTGAATTTTAAGGAGTGTTCATAATTTTAAAAAAGAATCTGGAATGTAAGGTACATTTGCTTATATTATGTGTGTCAAAAAGAGGAAGGAACGCGTTTGTATTCAGAAGAGTTTCAAAGAAGAAATGGTTCCCCTTACACATGAGAAGTGAATCTTTTGATAGAGAATATTTAAACTACAAATGAAATTCAGCTGAAACAATTCCCAAGGAAAGTGTCCTCTCAAATGTTAAATACTGTATAGATACTAATCACTACTATTTTGAACAATTAGTATACAAGCCAGAAAACAGTTCACAGAGAAATAAGTGAGTAGATCATGATACTTTTGGAAATATTTATCAGGATGAAGTTATTCTCTATATATTTTAATTTACTCTATATTATTTTATTGTATATTTCAAGTGTATTTTAGATAAATTATTTGTGCTTTATTTTCTAGTTGTTTTTTATCATTATTACTGGTGGCTGCTGTGGTGTGGAAGATCAAACAGACTTGCTGGGCTTCTCGACGGAGAGAGGTAGCAGTAATATTACATAATCTTTGTGAGGGTTGCGCACACATGGGTGTCTACTCCTTTAGAAATGTGCTCCTTAAAATACTGAATTTTCAGATCAGTTTTACTTCTTCACATTGAACAATCTTGTGTTTGTAACGTTTCTGAGTAAACTACTACTGTCATTTCAAGATAATATTTGTGGAAGCAATATTTACATATTTTGATAGTATTAGAATTTATAATGAACACAAATATTAATTCAGCTAAATAATCAGGAGCATCTTTAGACATTTAATTATATTGTAAGAACACTTTTATATCAATGTCTCTGTTGAATTGAAAAAGAGAATTATGAGTAATATTTGTTTTTTGCTTTAGGAAAAATGATCTTCTAGAAATTTAATATAACATTCTTCCTAGGGGGAGAAGTAATCATAATAGTCTCAACCATTTCTTAATTATCTTTATACCCAGCTATGTCTGAAAAGAATGGCAATTCGATGAACTTCTGTATCAGAATTAATCATGATGTTCCTTATAATTCTGAAAATTTAAAAACAGTAATCCATTTATAATATAATGTCTAATAATGTACTATTTTAGAAAAATATGGTCTCTTATCTTTTGATATAGTAGTTGACTGCAAGAGACAGAAACATAATTGTCTGATGAACCAAATACTCAGTAGATTTATTGTTTTATATCTTATATAAAAATCTTTGGTTTTATTTAGTGATCTGTTTGTTATGTTCTATTAATGTTAATACTCTAATATTAGTATTATGAGTAAATTATTTGCTGTGAATTTCCCAGTTATTTCTGTACCTACAAATTTTCACATACAAGAAGATATTTAAAGCTGATTGAAACCAATCTAGAATATTTGAAGAAATATAGTCAATGAATGACATGAATTTGTATCTGTCCAATATTCCTAAAACTCAGTGCCTACTAATTTATTTGGTAATAAATATAATTTATTTGGAAACTTGAATTCCTTCCCTGTCCAGATTACTCTTTATCATACTCCTGTCTTCATCTATGATTCAAAGTAGAGCCAGTACTATAATAATGAGAATTGACTTGATAGGGTTCCATGATAAAAAAGTAATCCAGTTGAAAGGAGCTTAATAAATACAGATACATTCACATTTTTCATGAAGTAAAATTCTGTGTGGATGCTAACAATCTTCTAGACATGGTATATGACATATTACAGTAAAATCAGATACAGAACAGAAAAATACATATGGTAGGCAGATAGTGGGAATTTTAAGTAATGGAATAGAATTGGTAACTATTTTCCTAATGGTTAGAGAAGATGCAAGGATCAGTAGAGGGTCTCTGTTCCTGTTCTGTTCTAAAGAGCACCGTTTAAGTATCTGAACTCAAAAGCATACAAAGCTCAATTTTGTAATTGTAGCATTTTGAAAACTTGCACATACTGCATTTCCCTTAACTGTCATGTGACTATGAGTAGATGATCTATTTGAATTACCTCATCTCTAAAGAAAGCTTTGCATTTTATCACTAATTCTAGTTGGGGATTTTATATTTATATACACATTTTTATTTGTATTAACTTAGTTTAGAAGCAATACAGTTGTTTACTATTTGAAAACTATCTTGAGTTGTTCATTTATCTATCAAATTTCCACTCCTTTCCAAATGACATTAATATTATTTAATATTGTATCACCTTAGAGCAGTAGTCCTCTTTTTAGATATTAATCATATGCTCTGGAATTAGGTAATACTTTAATTTTATGTTTGTACATGTTTTAAATTTTATGTTAAAATATATAAAAATATTTGGTAGACATGGAAAGGAGAAGAAAAGATTAAGAATTAGATTACTAATGTTTGAAAATAAATATTTTATGGCAGTGACTTTCCTCTCAATATAATGCATTTGTTTCTAAACCCATCAAGGTAGTTCTTTCTGTTAAAGAAAATAAGGATGTTTGCATTATTTTGGCTTACCTCTGCCAAAACTGAAAATCTACTTTGGTGAGATGAAATACATACAGTACATGGTTATAAGTATTTTGTGGAATAGTCTCAGATTTAACTTTGCTAAATGGCTTTAGAATGAAATTTATGTCTTAGATACCATTCACATATTAATATCCATAGTAATCATGACATTAACTTATATGTTGACTGTTGAAGATGTATTTTAGATTATACTTTTTATATTATTGAAGAAGAGTTCACATTTTGTTATGATAAGGCCTGGAGATGTGTAGACCTACTGCTTGATTAGAGATGTTTTAAAGTAACAGTTAAAAGATGATTTATCCTTTTTATTTTATGATTATCAAAGATTTGTAAACTCATTAGCACTTAATTTGTTAATCTAATTTTGGAACAGTATGTGAGTGGAAGCCAGCATCTTATCTAAACTTCTTATTCAGTGTTAACTATTAGATCTCCCAAAGTGTAAGAACTTCATACTTATTTTTATTGTTGCTATTGTTTCTCTGAAACACTAAGATATTGATTATAAAGATTCAGAGGTCACCTATGATTAATAGAATGGCACTTTATTCATAACAGTATTTTTTCTTAGAATTTATGTAATTGTGTTACAAAATTTGTAGTGTTTTTCTAAATGTAAGGACTATTTAAAATGAAAATAATTTGAATTTTTTAAAGTATCCTGTGTTAACTCTGAAAGATGTATTACTTCTAATTCATTGTAGCCTTGGTTCCTTTTAAGTGTGAATATACTTTTTGTAATATAATTTTAATATGTATTACTTCTAATTCTTTGTAGCCTTGGTTCATTTTAAGTGTGAATATACTTTTTGTAATATAATTTTAATATGTGACACATATTATTTTTATTTCCTTTGAATAGGACATCTAAGGATTCAAGGGCTTTTAAAAACCAAGCCATAAAGACTTCAATTTTAATACTATCCCTTCGATTCGGTTTCAATGGTAACCCATTATTATATGAAAAGTTTTTGTGTTAATGAATGGAAACAGTAATGGATATTGGTTAGTAGAAATATTATACTACACTGGAAAGATGTAGTATAACCCATTTACTAGAATAAACACACAAATATGCACAGGTTTTCGAGAGGTCTTGGACTGGCTATATTATATTTACCATGCGATTGAGATGTGATATGTAATAATATTTTTGGAAATTATTATCAGAAATAAATGTGAGCTATGTTACAATGGTACATAGAGTTGATATCTAATTTTTTCAGATGTTTTAATCATATATAAATTATGAAAAATTTCCTGAAATCATAGTTTTGAAAAATGTTAGTCACTATATTTAGGTTCAGTTATTTAGATGTTTTTAGAAGATAGCCAGTGATACTGATATTCTCTGAGTATTTCATTTTTTCTACCCCTTCCTCTCTCCTGTCTCTTAATTTGTCCCCTCATCCCATTTCAAGTTCATAACCTATTCTTCTATAATTATTATTGTTGCTTATACACCACGCTGCACATACCCCTATTGAGTATTAGTCCAAGTAATGTTCCTTTATGTGGATGTGTTTAGGGCTGACCACTTAGGATTGGGAGCCCTGTCAGTGAGCTGGTCCTTGAAGAAAACTAGTTCTCCCTGCATCAGCAGCTATTGACTGCCTGTTGCCCTTCATCTAGGTGTGTGGTCTTGTTAAATATGCTCCATTCAGGTTGGCATGTCGGCTGGTATGGTCTTGTGTAGGCAGGTCATATGTGAGTAATCATATTGTGGAGAGTTCATGGGTGCAGCATTCTGTCAAGTCTAGGAGACTCCAACTTACCCAGGTGTCCCAGTCCTTTGGCTCTTGTAATCTTTATACCCCATCTCTACAGTAGTCCTTGAGCTCTAAGCTTGGAGGTTGTGTTGTAGATGTATCAGTTGTGGCTGGGCACTCCATGGTCACTTAACTCTCTGCCTTTTGATCAATTTTGGATCTCTGCAGTAGCCTCACTCGACTGAAAAAGCTAAGGGACGTAAGAGCCTCACTTGCATCTATGAGTATACCATCTAGGAGCATACAGACAAGTATTTAGAGTGCAGTTGCTGTCTATATTAATTTAGCAAATGGGAGTAGTAGATTCTTCTCTAGAGTCTGTGACCTCTCCAGCCACTGGTTTTTGGCTAGATTTACAATACCGGGCATGAATTTCTTCCTATTGAATGGTCCTTAAGTGTCCAGTTAGATGACTGTTAGTTATCTCCGTGATATAACTACCACTAATGCACCATTGGAATTACCATGCCAGGTTTGGATTCACAAACTGCTTAGCCTGGCAACCCTATTTCCAGTTTCCCAATAGAACAGAGGAATGAGATCCTCCTCCTAAAGTTTTGGCTGAGGGAGGGAAGGAGGGAGGGAGGGAGGGAGGGGGAGAGAGAGGGAGGGAGGGAGAGAGAGAGAGAGAGAGAGAGAGAGAGAGAGAGAGAGAGAGAATGAATGAATATTTTCCAGAGTAAAGTCTGGTTTTGTTCTCAAAATGAAGGGGATGGATTTATATTGAGGGTGCAAAACTAAATGACGTGAACTTACCCTTCCAATTTAAAAGATAAATGCTTTAATCTAGTAATTAGATTTCATTTGTTTGTTTGTTTGTTTTTTGTGTTTTTGAGACCGTGTCTCCCTGCAGCTCCAGAATTCACTATGTGATCTAGGCTGGCCTTGAACTAACAGAGGTCTGCCTGCCTCTGCCTCCCGAGTGCTGGAACCAAAGGCGTGGGCCACGTCACCTGGCTAGTAATTAGATTTCTAAGAATATTACTACAAATATATATCTGCCTGGTTCTTCAAAATAAACTTCTACAAAGATATTTGCATATGAAAACAATTTCATGTTAAAAAGATTCTTGGAGTAAATTTTACTTTCTTACACTGAGGTGTTACATAACTGAAAACATAGACTGAGGTACAGACATGTTAATATGAAACAAGTTAATCTTTCACCTAAGAAACTATTGACCTGTTGTTGGGGAATTACAAAAGCTAATCAGCCAATAAAACTCTCAGCTCTCAAAATGTTGCTTTCTT